TCTCTTTAGGTATTTACCAGGGTCTTGAAGTGCGTCAGTCTCCCTCTGAGCTCATCACAAAACATGATGAAAATATACAGATTTCCTGCAGCCATGAGAAAACCAACTACTGGGTAATGCTCTGGTACCAACGCTCGCCCAGAGACACTGCTATGAAACTCATTGGAAACCTGTACTTCAAAAATGTTGAAATGGAGGAACCTTATAAAGAGTATTTTAACATCTCTGGAGATCTGAGTGGGAACACAGCCAAGAACAGCTCTCTTCTAATCAAACCCGCTGCAAAAGAGCCCAGCGCCGTTTACTATTGTGCAGCGCGAGAAACACGACGACTAAAATCCTGTCGGAACTTTACAAAAACTGCTCCCAAGTCTTTCATCATTAGTGGGTTTGTGTAAGAAATGGAGGGAGCTTTTTTCAGACACCTGCTGGTGTGGTTATGCTGTGGTTTTAGAACCATCATTCAGTACAGCACAATAACTTTATATAGGCCATAGGCTGAAGCTCAAAATGTGGCTAGAAATAGGATTTCGCTCCACTATCCTGGGGACTACTTTTCGATAGCACTTTTCCAATCTTGAATATGTACTGGAGCTGGGAAAAAAAGATCTCCATGGGATTCCTGCCAGTATTTGAGAAAATGGGTGCCAAAGGTGGCAGTTTACCCAAAAAAGTGACGATTTTGGGTCTTCTACCATTTTCAAACCCTTGTAACTTTTTTATTATTAAGCCGATCGTACTCAAATTTTTTATTTCCACAGACATTCATACTTACTCTGAGCTTCTAAAGCGGCAATGTTCTGCGTGCTTTAAGTACGGAGTTATTCTAAATGAAAACATACAGTTTTGAACAACTTCACAATCTCCCAAAACGTATCTTTATTGCAAATGAAAACTGCAATTCTTTGAATTTTCAATTGAAAAATTCTAATAGCAAGATATCCCTTTGTGTCTGGTTAATTAATAACTATGAAAAGTGGTGTGAATTTTATCACCTAGCAAACCAGTTACAATATAGGCCATAGGCTGAAGCTCAAAATGTGGCTAGAAATAGGATTTTGCTCCACTAACCTGGGGACTACTTTTGATAGCACTTTTCCAATCTTGAATATGTACTGGAGCTGGGAAAAAAAGTTCTCCATGGGATTCCTGCCAGTATTTGAGAAAATGGGTGCCAAAGGTGGCAGTTTACCCCAAAAAGTGACGATTTGGGGTCTTCTACCATTTTCAAACCCTTGTAACTTTTTTATTATTAATGCGATTGTACTCAAATTTTTGATTCCCACAGACATTCATACTTACTCAGAGCTTCTAAAGCGGCAATGTTCTGCGTGCTTTATGTAAGAAGTTATTCTAAATGAAAACATACACTTTTTAACAATTTCGCAATTTCCCAAAATATATATTTATTGCACATGAAAACTGCAATTCTTTGAATTTTAAATTGGAAAACTCTAATAGAAAGATATCCCTTTGTGTCTGGTTAATTAATAACTATTTAAAGTGGTGTGAATTTTATCACCTAGCAAACCAGTTACAATATTGGAAGCAAAATTTTCGGAAATAACAATAAAAACTAGAAGAATCTTCAAGTAAATTTATACTGTTTATTCAATGGATCTGATATCAACTTAAGCAATCATGGAATTAATGAACAAATAATAACAAAAATAATAGTAACAACCCCCCCCACCACCACCACCACCACTCCATTCCCACACCAACAAGAGTTACTTCTTCTGTTTGTTGCAACATTTATGAATATTTACAGAGAGAATTAATCATCTTCAGAAAAACTGAAAGAGAATAAGAAGCCTACATATAATTTTTCAATGACTTTTGAACAATTCTACCAAGCACTAAGCATGCCAAAGTTGATATCTCCCAAATTTTATACATGTACATATATAATTATAAAGACCGATTCTAACCATTTATAAATCTCCACTCTGTAACTATTGACAAATGGCAATAGCAATGATAACATGATTTTGAAAAGGGGTAAAGTTTTCAGATGCCTCATAACAATAGGAAGAATAATAATCATAATTACTGATTATTTATAAGAACAATGGAAAGTATTAATATCACAACATTAAAAAATGAACTCTTATTTATAAGCTACAAGATTGTTTTTTTCACATTTACTACAAAATTCAGTTTACTATGGACAAATATTCAAATTGGTTTTCAGAAATGAAATGGTTTCAATCAGCTAACCCGTGGGTTTGTCATGTTGGGCTCTATTCTTCTCGCCCACATGCAGAAACACTAGACGGAGTACCCGAAATCAGTTAGAGAAGTTTAATGAAAAAAATCAGCAGAGAAGTCTGGGCCGGGGAACCAAGGGTGAAAACAGCCAGGTCTGGTTCATGGATTTGGTGATGAACTGCGCCTGGGAGGTTTCGGTGGTACCGGGGTGGAGGAAAGTGATGGAGGGTTTACGGCAGGAGACCAGGAGGCGCACGGCGTTGGAGGGCGACCAGCGGGTATTTTCCGTGGCGTCACGAGGGTAATGATCTGGTGGAGGCAGCCGGAGGTTCAGGGTTCAGCGGAGGGTTCTCAGAGTTCTTTTACGGGTCACCTGGGGAGGAGACGCACCAGAAATTACTCGGAGAGTTCGCTAGGAATAATACACAGGGAAACGCACGATGACCTGGTGTACCATGTCAGGCTAACACTCTGGCAAAGAAGTGTAGGCTGCCCCTTCCTCTTAAACTCCACCAGATGAGCTGATCGCTTACAGGTGCGCAGGTACTCCTGCTGCCGGTGGTCACGCCCTCCAGGCTCCACCTCATGGCATCCTCTGGTGGAGGAAAAGAAAACAGCAAAAACACCCCGGACCCCAACAGGGTTGTGAATTCACTCCTCTGAGGCAAGACTTAATATGGAAATGTACAGGGAATTAAAGAAGGCACAAAGACATTTCTGTTTTTAAACAATTACTTTTGTTGGACCCAGCAAGCCTTGAGATGTTAAACTTTTTAGGATCACTTCGGGTTGTTACGACTTGAGAATTACAATAGAAAACACACAGAAACTATGAATCATCAAAATCATAGGAGGGATAGGAGTCTCCTACTATCACTTCCTGCAGGTGTTCCTAGAGCTGTGGAGTCTGGATCTGTGGTTGGGAGTTTCCTGCTGCTACGTGTTCCTGCTCTGCTACTACTCTGCATAGTGTTATTTCTGTCATAACTCCTATCATTATCATTAGTATCAATATACATAAAATGGAATTGAATTGAACTTTCTTTGTAGCACCGTTTGTGCTACCGGACTTCAATTGCGACACAATCTTTTCCACGTACATCCTTGAGGATGGATTCGTCCATTTTCACTTCAGCTGCATTAACCAAACTCCCTAGCAGAGAGAGAGTTAAAGTTCAATCATAAACCAGCTGCCAACAAATAATATCAAATACATTTTCTCTCTTTTACCAGACTGAACTGGTAGTTGGGTGA